TGGGTGGCAGGTGCTGGAAGGCCACGAGTCAGGCTCAGCCCAGTTGGTTGAACTGAGGGCTGTTGCCATGGCTTTTCAGTGGTTCTCTCGGGTACCTTTGAATTTAGTCACTGATTCTGCCTACGTAGCAGACATAACCCAACGCTTAGATTGTTCACTTTCGGAGGAAGTGAATAATGCGGCTCTGTTTTCACTATTGAAAACTTTGTGGTGTGCAATTCAAGCTCGAGTTCACCCATATTACATTTTGCATATTCATAGTCACGCCAGTTTGCCAGGTTTTATAACAGAAGGCAATGCCAGGATTGACATGCTAGCTAACCCTGCGTGGGTAGCGCCTCAGCCTGACAAAATTGCACAAGCCAAGGCATCGCATAGTTTTTTCCATCAAAGCCTGCATACCCCGCAGAAGCAGTTTCACTTGATGCCAACTGAGGCTCGGGACACTGTCAGCACTTGCGCTGACTGCCACGGACCCGCTGCACAGGGGCCTAAATGCCTTGCAGCTTTGGCAGATGGATGTAACGCATATTCCTGAGTTTGGCAGGTTTAAGTATGTGCACGTGTCTATTGACACTTTCTCCTCAGCTATGTGGGCGTCTGCTCATACCGGGGAGAAAAGTCGTGATGTCATTGCCCATTGGAAACTCGCTTTTGCGGTCTTGGGCGTGCCTTTTTCTGTGAAAACCGATAATGGCCCGGCCTACGTCTCACAGAAGACGCGGCAGGTTTTAACCCTATGGGGTGTAAATCATGCTTTGGGGATACTGGCCAAGCCATTGTTGAACGCCCTCATGGTACTTTGAAACGTGTTTTAGATAAACAAAATGGGGGAATGCATGGAGAAACCCCACAGAGTCGCCTAGAAAAAGCATTATATACAATTAATCATCTTACAGTGCCACCAAATTCAAATAATCCTGTTATTTTGAATCATTTTCTTTCATTGTAGTCTTCAGGCGAGACACACCTGCCTCGAGCGAAAGTCTGGGTACGGGACCTACTCACTAAAGAGTGGAAAGGCCCGTGTGAGCTTATTGCTTGGGGTCGTGGGTATGCTTGCGTTTCCACAGATACTGGGGTACAATGGCTACCCGCAAGATGCGTTTGCCCTGACCTGAGGCACCAGAAGCAGAACAAGCAACCTTCAAATGATGGCCAGAATGTGGATCATCAATCAAATGATCCTTCTGATGGAGATAATGATAGAGATGTCGACCATCAGCCTGGTCCTTCTACAAGTAGAGACTGAACTTTAAGTTTCTTTTAGAGTCAGAATGGTAGAGCCCTTAAGGCTATTTAGAATTAATGACTGAATGTATAACTGGGTTTGCTAGATGTATCTCCCATGGCATTGCTGGAGAATCTCTCTGCCTGCTTTAAATTAGTCTTAAACAAAAAGGGGGAATTGTGGAGAAATTTTCCAGCTGCTGCAGAATCCTGTAAAAGTTCTTTCCTCATGCAGGCTAGCTGAGAAACACCTGTAGCTTGTTACACTGGGAAAGTTGTTTTGAAACACGTGTTGCAGCATTCAGCCAGTCACTCTGGGAGGTGGATGGTCAAGCAACAAATAGCCTTGCCTCATCTGGTGAACATCGTGATTTGTAATTAATTAAGGTGGGGCATTTCCTCCTAGAAGGTGGGGTGTTTCCTCCTAAAAGCAGGGCATTTCCCTCCTGAGTGAGGGAGGTGCATTGGCCTGCTTTGGAGCTGTAGCCTGAAGCCTTCTCATTGCGACAGAGGTGCTTGCAGCACATGCAAGGGCAAGGAAAGGTGTCACGTTGGTCGGTTGAACTGCAGAGGCAGTTTTTGTTATCAGTGTTTTGGCTCTCTAAATGCATTCACACCTCTTCACTCTTTGCTTTTTTAAAACTGCAGAACAGGAAATGACAAAACGCAGTCGCTGATCCAAAGAAAATGACATCTCCCCGTATATAACTATCTTACGGTTCTGCCTTTTATGTTCTGATGCGCTGGACACGGAACAAAATTAATCAGCCAAGATTTTACTTTTAAGGAAAAACAGTGTAGCTCTTTGCTAATTACCGTAATTAATTAATGTCATCAAAACATTAATTATTTATCCTGCAGTAAACTCAGCAATCCACAGTACAACTCCCTTGACCCTGTGCTTATCACACGGATGCACTTATTAAGCAACCATGGGAGAATCTCGCTGCATATATTTCCCTTATTTCAAGAGCTGCCTTCATTCAGAGGGAGGCTGAGTGGGTCACTTTTTGGGCAACATCACAGGAATTCTGCTAACGATCTCTCAAGTGGGCAAACCTCTTCCTGCAGCTTTGCTTGAGACACAAACACTGGGAGCAGCCCCCCTGCACCACCAGCCGAGACCTCCCTCCTGTTCATGTCTGCACCAGTCCCCCTAAACTCACTTATTCCCCTCCCATATAATGGGATAACTCCTCCAGGAAAAAAAAATATATATATTTTTATATATATTTATATTCATA